ACCTTGAAATTTTAGTATGATATTTTTGAAGATATAAACTTTCGAAAAATGTAAAAAAAATTCGATTTTTTTAAAGTTTCACACTGATAAGGCCCCTTAAATGTACATATGTTGACATGCATATGTAAATTATTCTATTTATACAATAATAATTACACTTATATAACAATTATTTACTATTCTATCACATTTACTTAATCATTATTATAATAATCATTATTATGCCATATAATAAATATGTATGAATAATAAAATAATTAGAATACACTCGTATCATAATTAGATGCATTTATAAGAAGCCTGAATTGGCCAAAAACGTAAACACTATAATATATGCATTTGTAAGAAGCCTGAATGTGCCAAAAACGTGAACACTATAATATATGCACTTATAAGAAGCCTGAATGTGCCAAAAACATAAACACTATAATATATGCATTAATAAAAAGTCTGAATTTGCCAAAAATGTAAACACTATAATATATGCATTAATAAAAAGTCTGAATTTGCCAAAAACGTAAAAACTATAATATATGCACTTATAAAAAGCCTAAATCTGCCGAAAACGTAAACACTATAATATATGCATTTATAAGAAGCCTGAATTTGCCAAAAATGTAAACACTATAATATAAAAACTATCAAAAGCAAAGAACGCAGTCGAATATTTCAAATAAATTTTGTAAACTGGTGTAAAAATCCGGAGTTTAACTGTAATTGTTTCTTCGACGTCACTCACCGTTCCTAGGAACTGTTGCGATTCGACGAGAGCGGAACAACGATACACACGTTGTGGTATCAGTATCGACTGCTGTCAGTAGAATCGCGTCGAAATTCCCACACGACACGAAAGACACGTGGAAGGGCGGTACCAGACACGGAACCCGTGGCTGTCCGCCCGTTACACCCTAACAGACACCTTAGAAACCCTAACAGTCCAGTGCGACCCTCTTCGAGTTCCGCGTTCTCCGCTTATCTCGTCGCTCTACGGATTAATCCGTCATGTTCGTGCAAGCGCCAACCCTGATCCTGCAGAGATCAGAGAACTCTGAGGAGGAGAGTGACGAGGAAGGCACCGGTGATGTTCTTCAGGTTCAATTAATTCAAATAAGACAATATATGGGTTGGGGAATAAGTTCGTACCGTTTTTACCGAAGACTTTTATTTTTCGGTAAATCCCATTGAATGAAGGTGATTGAGAATCGTTTTATGATCGCAGTTCATTTTTTCCGCCAATTCACGACTGGTTTGGCGAC